AAAGACATAATCCCCTACTGTTTTAGGATGCCATGCCTCTGTGTCAGGTAGACTCTTTGACATGGAGGTCTGGGAGGGATGCACTCATTAGTGAGAGCTTATGGTGTGCTAGAGATAATGGCAGTCCAAGCCACAACATTAGTGCTTCATCATCAGGACCTCCGTGCATGTACAACAAGCCACATCCATGTAAACTCACAGCCAGCAGTCTTGATGGCTTTCCCTGACTGCCTATGTAGAAGGTCCACCTGTCTATAAAGACCTGCCTGTAATGTGTTCCTCATTTTGTTATCCTTGACCAGTGTTGTCAATTAAATCATGTATCAAAAGAACCTGTTCTCAAAGACCACCTGCTTAATGAAACCAATTTTGTATAGTTCCTCTGAGTGGTTTTATATGGATGTAAGTGTCCTGGGTTACAACGGGATAACACTTTTTCACTGTACTGGATTGCATGTAATGATTATTTATTTATTTTTCACCAGAAGGGGACTTTAAAGATATATTTCAAAACTATGCATTGCTTTCAGCCCATTCAAAACAATAAATTGATCAAAATAACACTCATTGCTATTGGTATTAGAGGAATATGACTGGTTTAGAAGAGATATGTCATCAGCAGATGAGAAGTTGGATTTTTTAAGCACAAAGATAAGGATTGCCCTTGACTATCAAGTTACCATGGCAATCCTCCTCAACTCCCCCTCCCAGATTTCTCTCCAGGAACGACAAGATTTGCACAGGAAGCTCTTCCCAGGTGTAAACTGATGGGTTAGTTAAGAGCCCGCTACTGGATAGGGGTTAGGGTTCCTGGAAGGTTGTCTAGCTGCTAATGGCTACCATCGACCTGCCATATGTGGTCACCTAGGGACTTGATGAATCCCGTTTACAAAGTCACACAATTGGACGGGTTCCTGTTTACGAGTTACAAAAGTGGACAGCTGATCAATTATTGTTGCAGAACCCAAATAAGAAGGTTTGAGTGTTTTGGGATGTTTAAGATTGGAGGGGTTATAGGAATGCCATGGCAATAATTTGATCATGAGTCTTGCTGAGAAAGGTTGCTGAGAAAGGTCACAGTTAAGATGGTATTTGAAATCAACAGGTGGAGTAATTATGCTTGGAACCAGAAGGTTATATATCTTTCCCTAGCTTCATGTGTAAAGATTTGAAGATGAGGTTTATGGCTTATAAAATTCTTTTTTCTTAAAGGTGAATAATAACAGACTACATTCAATCAAAGTAAGAGTTTGAATGATAGACAAATAAACCTAGGGTACATTATGTTCCAAAACTTTTATTAGGAAGATGTCAAAGCGCAGAAAACACAGCTACAATTCGATACATTGTCTACCCCATTCTTTTCACAAAATCTTGTATAACGCGACTACCTGAGATGGCCCGATGTTTTGAAATAAGCCAGTAGATGAGACTACATTTAATTCTAGATACCTGGATAATGGACACATTCTGCATTATCATTGTTACTCATCGTATTATTTTTGATCCCTTTTCTCTGCTTTGAAAAGAGATCCCTAAAAGATGAGGAAGTTGTTGCTCACTGGGGTCATGAAAATGAGGACCTCCCAATCCCCCAACAAAGAAACTTCTTCATGTCATCAATAAGCTCCTGTCTGATTCTTAGAAGTTTCAAATCATTGCTTTTTTGTTTTATATTCATTTTTAGTTGATATAAGTTTCGCCTGTATTCTGATATACACCATATGCTGGGTTCAGGCTTCAATGTGTTCAAAATTGGGTTTAACACCTGAAGTTAGTCTGAGGTCTAAATTGTCCTTTTGATAAACATGACTTTACACCCAAGGGTTGGGTTTAACTCTATTAGTAGAATACAGACCTTTAATTCTATGTGGAGTGATACTTTATGTGTTGTTATTGAAATGCATCTTTCTGAATATTATGTGTCTCTCTAGTTGCTTTCTGTTTCATGAATCACTGATGACATCATGCATGCCTGGATTCAGCCTATACAACATTTGTTCTTTTTTCTTTATCTCTAATGCAACCCCTTTCTTACGTCAACATAAAACACACACACATACGTTGTCTAATACACAAGAGAGGTTTTCACAATCTTTCTTGTGAAATAGTGCTTAAATCCAAAATTATGGTAGGTATTTTCATGGCTTTGATATAATAAAAAGTGCATAATCCATTGCTTGTTCTTTTTAAAAGTTATAGTGACATATTTCCCAATGAAGGAAGAAGCAAAGTGATATAATGAATCATGCCAAATAATCAGTCCTTTGCTCAACCCTAATATATCAATACAACAGTTTTTCCTCACAAATATTTTATATAAAATATATGTGAATGAAGGAAGATACATTGATGAGAGGCAAATGATTACAAAGGGCCTTTGAGAATATGTAAATTTTAAACTTTCTTTTCTAAGCCATGGAAAACCAATAGAAATTAAGTGGGTTTTCTAAAGTTTAACAGAAATACACATAACTTAAATGGATTTGTCAGTCACGGATGCTCAACTTCTAGCTTCCTCAAATGTATATAATTATGAGAAATTGGAGTATCCTGTGTATAATCTGAAATTATAAGTTATTAGGCTATGACTAAGATTCTTTCTCTCTTGGTCTCTCTCTCTCTCTCTCTGACTGCATTTCCCCTCTGTTTCTGTCTCTATCTGGCTCTCTCTCTCCTTTCATACTCTCCTTCTCTTTTCCCTCTCATCTATTCGTAATCTCATCATCTCTTCTAATTCTCAATATCTTCCTCTCTCTCTCTCTCTCTCTCTCTCCAATACTAAAAACATTATAAAGTTCTAAGAAATGTCATTTAGGCATACATAAAAATTAAGGATAAACATCTTGAAATCAACCTTTGCAAGCCTCACACTACAAATAAGCCGTCACAAATCGTAATTCCAGCAAAGTGTTTGTAGTTTGACATTTATGACTGTTGCCAGGGTGTAGCATTCTAGCTATTTATATCTTAGTCTTACGTAGTTATTCCTTTAAAAGACTTGAATAAGACCCAGATCTAGCACGACCTAGTAATGAATAATGAATCACATGTGATGTCCATTTGGAGCAAGAAGGGCATTAAATGGCATTAAATCATATAATAGTACACAGGTTTAACATCCTTCTGGCTCCAAACTGATGACAATATGGGTGAGTAAGCAGCTTAATATATCAATGGACTAAACTGCAACATATGTAAGTACTCAAGAGCCTAGATATGTAGCATTGTCCAAAGATTAGAGACAGATTTTTGGCACTATTATTTGCAATGTAACTGACCTTTGAAATCTGTTACGAATGATTTATTGCCATAATTTTAAAGATTTATCTCGGTCACAGAGTCACAAAAGTTTCACAAATTGATAAAGCCAATAGTGATGCAGTTGTGACAATTAGCAAACATTCCCTTACATGACCATGTCATTATTTTAAAGGCAATATGATAATTCAAATATTTTCAATAAAGGGTATTTTTTAAACACATAAAATTCAAAAGGCACAAGCTAAAGATGTTTTGGTGTTTCTTACCTCCATCACTACCCCTATAATTGGGCACAAATAAAGTGGTCTTTCCCTCATATTTCAGGATTCTGAGTCTAGCTGTAAAGACTATTGCTCAGCAAAATTCTATATGTAACATTATTTGATAACCTGGCTGGAAATGTTCCTTAATTTCATTCATGTGCATTTTGAAGAGGGAATATCAATCTTTGTAGAGATTGAATACTAATTTTCTGTCTGGAACACTCTTGTTCACCCTTCTGCTGTCCAAACACTCTCAGACCCATCAACCCTGACCTCCAGCCGGTCTATTCTTGTCATGGGCGTGTTCGTCCCACCTCTCGTCCTCCTAATTCCATCAGCCATAGCTCGTCACTAAATCAGCTTGTCGCTAAATCGGTTCAAAGCTCAAAATTGCGTGATAATTGCTCTTGCAGTGAGCTGAGGATTGAGCCAGCGCTGGTGCGGAATGGGGCATGTGTATTATAGCTTGAAGGTTAGGTAGGAATCTTATTACTTCAAGGACTGGTTAGTGAGTGATTCCTACATCTAATCAACTCCCATTCTAAGTGATGATGTCATCAGAGGATATAGATGCTTGTTAAGAAAGTGTTAAGAATGTGTGGCTTGTAGATTTATAATTTGTATAAACCCTCCTTGAAGCTCCATAACATGATGTACAGACCAAAATGCATGAAGGCAGGGTTGAATTCCAACCATGCTTTAAAATTGTTTGAACCTACCTCATTGACAAAAATGAGCGTGTGTATATATATATATATATATATAAGCATAAATCACTTGTGCACTGGACACAAGGACATGCGTAATTTGTATATGAAGGCCATGTAAACCATTGGTTTACTTTCAAGAATTCTGATCATAGAGTTTTTCCTGTGCCACTTCCGGTGCCAATTTCAGTGTAAAATATTGAAAATAAACAAAAAGAATGATTTGATGATGATTTGCAAAATTTAGGCTGTACCTCTAATTGTCTAGTTATAATGTCTGGGTTAGTTTCCTGAGTATTTGTTATAGAAACTCATAAGGTATAATCTTGAAAGTAGCCAGACAGAAAATGGTCTATTGAAGGAAAGGCAGGCAAGAACAGATTTTAAAACCATTACAGCTATATATAAAGGCAACTCAAAAGGTACCAGAAATATGGATTTCATAGGCAGGTGGGTATGTACAGGCAACTCTAGTAAAAGTTTCAATAAAAAACACTGATCAAAGAAATAAAAAATGTCTCAATAGAAAGGCAATCTTTCAATCCAGGCCATGATTAAGCAGGCACTATAGAACAAAATGCTGAGGAGTAGAATTCCAGGTATTTATAGAATTTACTATGAAGGGAGTTACAGGAACACAAAAGCCAATTAGACATTAACACCTTATGTTAGATGATGTTGTTAAAGTATGAATCTCAAATCTCACAATTACACTGTCATCACTAATACAAAACAAAAAAGGTTCAATAATAAGTTCAGTTCTTACCGGGTCCCATTTCTTGATAGCATCTCTCTCCTCGAACCTGACGGGTTCTGTTTTGATATTCTCTCCAAACACCTCAGGTCCATCATACTTGTATATGACAGGTTCTGGTAGAGGATGCTCCTCAAAGCACTCTTTAGGGGGCTCCTCCTCCATGGCAGACACAGGCTGAGGCACTTCTTCCACATGACATGTATCGGGAGGGAACTCATAAATTGCGCCCTCTTCCGTCACAGTCCTCTGGACACCGTTGCCGTTGGTGCTTTTGTCACTGTCGTTACGGCTGGGTTGACTTCCATTGGCCTGAATATCGGTCACTTCGTAGGTCGACGACACGTGAATATAGTCGTCTTTCTTAGAGGTCCGTACACACAGACCGGTAGTTTGATTATCGCAGACATTCCCGGGTAATTGGATAACTTCCTCGTAGTCTGCCTGCACATGTGACGATCTTTGTTTTTGGCCAGCCATGTTGCGTGCAGGTGGAATGGGTTTGCACTGAATTGGCGTCTCATACCCTCCATCATCTATAACCTGATTGGTTGGTATACTCCTAATGAGTGGACCACTTGTCCTACCATCCCTGGTAGGCTTGACAACTCCATTAGGGAGTGGCTGTCCATTCATTTTAGTAATCCCGTTTGGTCTTGCAGGAGGAATGGGTTTTGTTGGTGGGATGTTCTGCCGGGCAGGTGGTCTAGGTTTACTTGAAGTACCGTTCATATTGGACTGACTGGTTGTACCATTGTTTGTACCATTGTTGATCTTTTGCACATTATTTATAGGGTTGCTTGACCTTAATGGCCCGTTGGTGAATTTAGATGGTGGAGGGCTAGGGGTACCACGTGACCTCTCCCTGGGTTGGCTCTCATTTGAAATACGTTTTGGGATTGGACTGTGATCCCCATTGACAAGACTACTGCTCTTGGAATCATAGGTGTTATTTGACCCATGACTGCTGTATGACTCCCTCATACCAGGTAAGTCAAAGGTTCCGTGCAGTTCATGATGGCCAAAGGAAGCATGGCTAGCATGGGAATCAAGCGAGGATTTCAGACTTTGATGCGACTCTTGACTGCCTCGTGACAGGTGACTACTGTGTGATTCATGACTGAGAAGGCTGAAATGGGACTCACGACTGGCATAGGAATCACGTTCTATTGGAGAGTGCCCTCTATACGATAACCGGTGTTCCCGTCCGAGCGTAGCCCTGTCAATCTGCATGACACGCTCTCTGACTGAGAGTGGTTCGTTTTCCCAGAAAATATTTCCTCCATTCTGATGTCCATCACTTTGATGTTCTTCATCCATCTCAGAGTTGAGCCTAACCTCAACCAATGGTGTTGTCTCGTAGATATCCTCTACCTCAGGCACCCTCTCCCTATCATGCTGCACTACCATATCTTCTACACCCATATCTCTATCTTCCTCTAACTCCTCCTCATCCACTTCTAACAAATCATCTTTGCTCTTCCTCAATGCCTCCTGCATGGCTTGCACCTGCTCTGCCAAGCTCTGCACAAAATCCTTACATGTTTCCAGGTCGGTTACAATAGTCTTTGGCCTCAAAATTGACGACAAATCTTCCTCGTTGATTGTATCCAAGTCACCACAATTCGAGGTGTCCAATTTGTGAGACGACCTGTCGGAATCCCGACGGTAGATCCCAGAGTCTCCAGAATCGCCATTACCAGAGTCCCTGAGACTGTATTCTCTGGAGTACTCCCTCCTGGTTGGGCCATTAGGAGGCGAGTCACTTGATTCGTCAGAGTCCAGCGGGTCCGATGATGGTGATATATCCTCCGAGCTCAACTCTGAAGATACAATGGAGCTGGACTCTGACTTCTTGTCTGCATCCCATTCGACCGCCATTAACTGTCAAGATAAACAGAAAGATAAAAAGTGACAAATTACGTTATCTTTTCCGTCAATATTCAAAAATCTGAAAAAAAACTGTACATAAAATGAACATTATTCATAAGAAGTTACAACTGACAATGCAAGTTTTCTATTGTGAAGTTTAGACAAGAAAATGATATCATCTAAGTTCTAAAGAGGCATTAGCTCATAAACTCCATCACACACTTAATATCCATCAGGCTCTAAACAGAGGATATGAAATATGGAGAAAAAAATACCATCAGTAGAAAATCCCAAAGGGCTGACAGACCAACGTAAACAAAATACACATTCCAGTAGCTCAGAATGTTCAACATTACGTGGTTGAAAACATTAGCGCTATCTCGCCAAGATGTGGACGTGTCATACATGTGCCATACTTGTAGATGAATACAAGGTTCTGAAGCATTTGGCAACATGTTACATTAGAGACCAAAAAGGTGAATGGTGTTTTGGTGATCGCAAAGCTAAATGACCATTACAAATGTTTTAGGGATTGCTTGTGAATCATGCAACATTTAAGCTGGGCTCACATGATATCAGAGTGAGTAGGATGGTATTCTAGAAACATTTAATCCATGGTTTTAATCTCCAAACCCACTACAGCACCATCCCACTCCTAGAGAGTTCATCAACACTAGGCTATCCTGGACAATCGATACAATTAAACTTATATCATTTGGACACAAGTCAAAACGCAATTATTCAAGAACATAGCTTCACTTTCCAGCACTTTTATAATGGTGGAAACTGTGTAAATTAGATAATCAGGCCTCTCAGTTCTGTATGTAATTTAAATCAACCAATATGTAGTCATGTTGTATGTATTATTATTGATAAAGAGAATTGTGTCTTTATTCTTGACATTCAAAGTTGTTCCATTAGCTGGGAACTTAGGGATAACAAAATAATAAACCAAATAATGAAAACATATAAAAAATCAATACATAAATCAATGATAAATATCAGTGGAATATGTGTTTCAGTTTCAGAGGAAATAAGAGAGAGAGAGAGAGAGAGAGAGAGAGAAGAAGAGAAAAAGAGAGAGATAGAAGAAGTAGGAGGGAGAGGGAGATAGAAAGAGAGAAAGAGAGAGTGAGAGCACGAGAGGGGAAAGAGAAGAGAAGAGAAGAAAGAGAAAGAGAGAAAGAAAGGGGGTCATAGAGAGAGAGAGAGAGAGGTAGAGAGAGACAGAGTGAGAGAGAGGGGAAGGACGGATAGGGAGGCAGCAAGGAGGGCAGAATAAGAAGGTTAATGGGGAAGGGATGAGGATACTGCTTCAGGAAAGGGCTGCTAGACACTCTACTTCCCTGTCATATTAATGTGGGGCTGCAAGGTACAATCACTTTCTTTGGGAAGATGAAAAACAGGGCAATATTAAAGCTAACAGTCAAATTTTGAAGAACAGTGATCAATGTGTGAAGATATCCAAACTATGCATCAAACTAAAATTGTCTGTGGATAACTGGTTGCTTCCCATCAGTCATTAGCACATAATTATAAAAAATAATTAGTACAGTATACCGTACACATAATTCAATCACTGTAAAAATGGGGTACCTCTGTACACCCAACTGACTCTCTACATATTGCGACACATCCTCTGGCAAGAGTTGCTATATAGTTAATTTCCTGCACTAACAGAATTCTTAAAAGACTAAACACTAAACACTAACCCTAATCCTATCCAAAAACCCAATTTCAACCCCAAATCCTATCCAACACTTTGATGAAATAAAGACTGGAGGGAATGTCACCAGACCAAATCAGATTGCTGTCTCTACACCATACAGTAGGTGAAAACAGACTGATTAGAAACAAACCATGGTCATCATAATAACAGCTTTAGGAAATATTCTATTAGACACTCCTCTTGACTCCAAATAAGACAGACGTGAGGCCAATGACATTTAAAGACCCAATAAGTCGGTCAATTCTCCAGGCCAAAGGGTGCGGAAGGAGGGTCTATGAGGAACCACGGTTGGTGTCACTTGATAACCCAAGCTGGTTACTACCACTCCTAAACTCTAAACACTGCAGTATGACAAGGTTGGTTTGTCTTGGAGCCAAGTAACAGTCATTGTGGACTCACATGATTGACTTGGTTGTTACATTTAGCAGAATTACTCACTCAATCACATAATGTCAATGCTATGAATACAAAACTTTAATAGATGTAAAATGCAATAACTATGAAAAATAACAATACTGTCTGCTAAGAGCTAGCTCAAAATAAAGCTATTTAGATTCACATATGATTTGTGCAATTACTGCAATAATGTATCATATCTTAGTTTACCAGCCTTATCATCTAAAGATGTGAACCTCTTTACAAAGAAATTAATTAGATATTACTTAATTAGCCTTAATATTTCACATATCATAGCATTGAAGAGTTGTGAAAGGTTTACTCAAATATGTGCATTTATAGTGTAAAGAATTGAGCTCATCTAAGGGTAACATGAAGGTTGAGAAAAGAGAGGATAATATCAATATGCATACCACTTCCCTTTAATGTAGTGTTCAATTTCATTTATTACATTATTACTATACACATAGCACCTCTACGATACACCACTCCCTAAATCCACCCCACCCCCTTCCATATCTGGGGACCCCTTGCATAGGACAAACAGGGCATGCAGGGGGAAGCTCCGCACCCCTGTGTGGTCCTCCGCAGACGTAAAACGTACAGAGAACTTCCTGTTTACGCACAAGTAGGGCTGCCATTCCGACTCCAGAGTGGCAGACATGGCACGCGAATTCCAGACACATGTCGCGAGAGAAAGCTATTGTAGCCAAAGCCCATATAGAGGAGTTTCAGATTGAACTGTTGTTTGGCAAATTGTGAATTCAGATGAAATTGATTTTGACACATTTCTCGAAGTTTAACGATTAGGGATCGGATATTTTGCAAGGTAGCCTAGACACGGTCCGGATGAATCACAAAACCAAGCTTTTAAGGTCATGCGTTAAATTGGACCCTCAAGGTTTGACCCGATGATAAGAAAGAGACAACCCAAGAAGAATAACATAAAGAAGTTCATCAAGAGGTTATAGAACAGGACTTAATATTGCACATTTTATTTGATGTAGTTTGATTTAGATGTCTTGATGAATGAATCTACTGAAGAAAAAAAAAAGAGATTTAGGTGACTAAAGTTGATTAATAACTTTTTGCGTGAAAGACTTTAGTGAAAAGAGGATCTGTAGAAATCTGTATGAATGGTATTGTCAGATGCTCTCCATTAAACAAATAATACCTTAAAAAAATTAAATGAAAATAAGGCAAGATGAATGAGTCCTAATCAAACTAGACCTTACATAAGAACCTTAGCCATTTAGAGCTATGTAATATTTAGTTTGTCCATCAGTATTGTTTCATTCAGTGTGACTTGAGTAAAACTTTCTGGGACCTTTTAATCACAAGCTTTCCTCAGATTTAAAACGACCATCACCACACAAATACTACAAATCAGTGTAGCTTCCCAAGCTTAGTAGGTGGAGTCCCGTACCCTAAAATATACCCAGGGAGCGAGGGATGATTTGCAGAGGGTAACTATTAATGCCCTTGCCTTAGATCTCCACATCGATTCCCCCTCTTAAGAGTCCCCCATCTTAAAGATTCCCCTCGCCCCTAATCTTACTAGATCAGGTCTGTCTAGATGGCCTTCCTTCCTTCCTCCCCCTCCTCCTCCTACCATCAAATTTAACCCAAAAGCTACCAATGTTCTTTGTAGAAGTTGAATATAGAGTTGATGTGTACACAACCCCCTCATCTAAAGAAGCAACTACACCACACTCTGTTATTTCAAGTCTTATTCTACATTGATTGATTCTTGGTAGACTATTGGGAGACCTAATAAGTGTTTTTAAATCACATCTGATTTAAGCTGAATAATACCTTCACTTTAACTTTAACTTACCAAGACAAACTTGGGGGAAAAACTTCCTCTGCGCATCGATTGCACATTTATGATGGGTTCACTTTTAACATGTATAAACAATGTTTTTGATAAGTAAGCTCACACACTTCTTCAGTCGAGACTGACCAGGGGTACAAGACAGATGTTTTAATAAATCCAATTCTAGTGAAATGCCTTGGCTATATTTAAGTCTGCTAAAGGATGAAGGGAGGAAACTTAAATAAAAAAAGGCCTACTAACACTGATTAATGCTAGATTAAAGCATAGACTTAATAAAAAGAAGAGAGATTACAAAGAGAGGGAAAGGAGGCCCAGGGAAGAGGCTTGGTCAACGGGACATTTGCAGAGGTAGCTTATGGAATTTTAACCAGGGTCATAATTCAGAAAATATGAAGAGAGCCTCTTAATGCCTTTAATTTTTATTGCGGTTACAACAGAGTACTGAATGGCAAAATTTGTATATTTCTTACAACTAATACCTGCCTGTTTGCCCAGATGTATGATATATTTAATCCAGTTCTATTTAATATAGTAGAAGGCAATGCAAGAATAAAGAGAGAAAAAAGAGACGGGAGGAGTACATAGAAAGATAGAAAGATGGAGAAAGAGATAGGGAGATGAAGAGAGAGAAAGACATATATATATATATATATATATATATATATACAGAGAGAGAGAGAGAGAGAGAGAGAGAGAGAGAGAGAGATAAAGAGAATTATGAGAGAGGGGGATGAGATAGAATTCTGTGATGAATTCCAAAATTGACTTCCGAAAACAACAAGGAAGGATTAACAAAGATTGTCATATGATTCTGATGCATGAACCGCATTAAACTCTACCCTAGTTTATTAAGATATTAGGGATTAGATCCCTGACAAGAACTTCACATGATCTTGACAAATCAGGTTGCGGATTAGGGGAATACCCGTTTCCACTATAAAAAAACCACTGACATTTGTCATTTTTGCAATAATAGATAATAACAATTGCACTTTAATAGTGACAGCAATGTGATGGAAAAATGTACTTGAGCTACCATCATTTTCTAAA